CCCCAAAACCCCAAAACCCCATCTTGAAAACGAGAATGGAAATATTTCAAATGAATACTAAAACTCTAGAAAATCATTCTATAGTTTAGACATACAAGCTATTGAAAGAGTAGTCCATAAGATATTTGCTAATATATTAGTAAATATTATTAATACTTGAAATTTAAATATCATATAATTAATTACAAATCTTAGACATCATAGACATGACTATTGACGTTGGTTCTGGAACATAACCTCAAGGATCAATCGCTCCAACTTCATGGAGAGATTTACCTGTTGATCACAGTCTTCATTTAAAGACACTAATCATAATTGCTATTGGAATTGTTTACTGGACATTCATGTACTATGTGGGTTGTTACCATCATCCTATTCCAAAATATTTCAAGTCTAAGATGAGCGTATAGGATCATTTTGTCTGGAGATTCAGAGTAATCAACAGCTATCATGGAGCTACTACTTGCATTTTGGCTATCATTTGGTATATTACCTAATTCACCACTGAATGCTCAAAGAAAAACTCAGACTTAGAGTTAATAATGTTGTCGCATACCTTTGGCTATTTGCTATTGGACTGGGTCTTTATGTGGCACAAAGGATTCCTTGACAATGGAAATCTTCTTCATCATTTCATGGGAGTCGGCGTATTCGTTTTTAGTGCTTATCTCTAGCATAATTTTGCTTTCCATGCAATGTAATTACTCCCAGGTGAGTTTTCCAACGTTGCAATGCACGGAAGAGAAATCATCAAAAGAATGGGATTAAGATACTCTAAAATCTATTATCTCAACGACTATACCTACTATATTGAATACCTTGTTTGCAGAATTTTCTGGATTCCAACGATTTACTATTTCATATATAGCTGCTAGACTGCTAACCCAGCTCAACTTATTTTCTTCCCCTTCCATATTTTGATGAACTGGTATTATTGCTCAAACATCCCACCTCTAATGGGGCAAAGATATAGAGAGATCAAGAAGATATAAAAGATAGGAATGAAACTAGAATGGTTTGTACCTCTAGACAGCGAAGAACTTAAGAAAAATGGTATTGTTAGTTATGAAAGATACCACACATGAACATTAATACCTATGAGAAATATTCTCAAACATATTCTAAATATTTCGGAAAAAACAAACCAACCTAATCGAATGATAAATTTAATTCTAAGTTGACTACTTTTTCTTAAGACTTTAACTAACCTTAATGCTTAATATCATTCTTCAGTCATTTTTATTTTTTATTTTCATAATTCTCATTATACAATGCTGATTAAAGTCTCGGGGTTTTGGGGTTTTGGGGTTTTGGGG